AATTTGATATGCATTACTTTCTGAAAGTAATGTGCATTCATTTTGACATGTGAATTTAAATATTTTAGTATGCAATTTTATAACTTTCAGAGACATAGAGAAACTTTAAGAAAGACAGAATGATGTTAGATGAGGTTTTGTTACACGAGTTAATAGACAAATTAGTGCTTCTGCTAGGTACTTCTGGCTCATGCCTGTGATCCCAGCTACTTGGGAGACTGAGATCTGAAGACTGTAGTTCGAAGCCAGCCCTGGCAGGAAAGCCCATGAGTCTCTTGTCTCCAGTTAACTACATAAAAGCTAGAAATGCAGGTGCAGCTCAAGTGGTAGAATGCCAGCCTTAAGTAAAAAAGCAAAGGGCAGAACTTATGCCCTGAATTCAAGCCTCACTAACCACACACACACACACACACACACACACACACACGTGCTTCTGAAGTATTCAAGAAGTTGGTCCTAACAAGTTAAAGCTTTATCTTGCCCTGTTGGTTTATCAATCTTTTTCTCATAGATGACTGACTGCTTCATCACTCTTGATTAAATGAGCACAGTTTAAGTTGTAAGGGACACTGCATTAGTAATAGTCTTTTTTTTAATTTAATTTTATTTGTGAACATACTGTACAGAGGGGTTACAATTACATGGGCAGGATAATGCGTACATTTCTTACCAAGCATTGCAGCCTCCTCCTTTGTTTACCCTTCACATCCCTTCCTAGCTCCCCCCTCCCCCCCAGTCCCAATAGTAATAGTCTTATCATACACAAGGCTCTGTAGAATTTTCTTTCCTTCTTTTCTTTTCCTTTCTTTTCCGTCTGTTGTGGGGCTTGAACTCTGGGACTGGACGCCGTCCCTCAGCTCTTCAGCTCAAGGCTAGAGCTCTACTACTTGAGCCACAGTGCCACTTCCAGTTTTCTGAGTGGTTAATTGGAGATAAGTGTCTCATTACTTTCTTGCCCATGCTGGCTTTGAACCGTGATCCTCAGAGCTCAGCCTCCTGAGTAGCTAGGATTACAGGCCTGAGCCACTGGTGCCTGGCTCTGTAGAATTTTCTACTAGCATTCTGTGATTTGTAAGTGATCTCAAAAGTTCTTGGCACATATCATCTATCATTTTGCCAAAGGAAAACTTGATCCTCTATACTGAGAGTCTGGGGTGACAATGTGGGGTAAAAGAATCTGGCTGACTGACCAGTGCTTGTGTTCCATCACTCCATTCCCTGTACCTCTCATGAACTGGTTTCTAAAAACATTGTTTTTTTTTTCCAAAGACAGACTAATAAAAAAAAAGCCAGTACTTGTGAAATGGGACATACTCCACAGCCTTTGAAAGAATTTAAATAAACAAGGATTCACTGTGTAGGCAAAGCATTTGGGAAAAAGTTATAAAGCCTGCCTAAGAGGATTAATTCATCAAGACAAGGTTCCTAGATGCAATCTTTAAAATGTATTTGTATTCATATCAGACTTTTTCCTGCTATTCTCTATCCTGACACCTTTATCCATTGGACTATTTCAATTTGGGGAGAAAAAAAAAGATAAAGCCAAACCAGGCACTGGTGACTCACTCATGTAATCATAGCTACTCAAGAGGCTGAGATCTGAGGATGGCAGTTCATAGCCAGCCTGGACAGAAAAGTCTGTGAGACACTTTACCTCCAATTAACCAGCAAAAAGCTGGAAGTAGAGCTGTGGCTAAAATGGTAGAGTGCCAGTCTTGAGCAAAAATGCCGAGTGAGACCATGAGACCCTGAGTTCAAGCCTTAGCACCAGCACAAAAAGAAAGAGAAAAAGAAAGAGGGGAGAGACCGATACAGACAGAGAGAAAGCTAAATAAAACTAATTTTGATATAGTTGGTAGTTTAAACTCCTTACTCCTGGAACCCAATCAGCATACAAATTTCAGATTTGTATTCTACAAGATAACACTAGCCCATCATTTCTTCCTGCATATTGAAAATATTACCTACCACTTACAATAGATACATAAAATAGTATCTCATCTCCTATCCTCTGTGCCAAGAATTATATTTTAAAAACAAGATACTCGGGAGCTTGCACTTGTGTCTCTTTTCTTAAGATAAACTGAAACAAAACTTGGTGTAACACATCTGCTCAGTGTTGGCACAATTAATATTCTCCACATTAGTCAAAGGGAGGAAGAAATGGTGTGTTGAGCCTAAGATACAATATGTAGAAGACACCTCATTTCTATTAGTCTGTCATACTGGAGGGAGATTCTGGAGTGTGGAGGTCATTCAGTCACTTAGATATCAATGTCCATAGAGAAAAGACTGTTCAAACTCTAGATGGGCTCAAGAGCTGGGTCCCCAGCCAGTAGATGGCATAACCAGGCCCAGATCCATGGCTCACACATCTCCCACATGTTATCCCATTGCCAACATTCCACGGCAGGGGAAGGAGGATTCTACTGGTACCACCATGCCCTCCCTACTCTACTTAGAACCTTTAGTCTTAGCAAAAACAAGCAAACAAAAAAACCAGCACACACACGTGAACATTTGTGTGCATGTATCCATATATTTTAAGGACTTAAAAAAATAGCCAAGTACTCGTGGCTCATACTTGTAGCTACACAAGAGGCTAAAATCCAAGCCTCAAAGTCCTATGCCAGCCCAGGCAGGAAAGCCCATGAGACTCTCATCTCCAATTAACCAGCAAAAAGCCAGAAATGGAGATATGGCTCACATGGTAGAGTGCCATCCTTCAGCTGCGAAAAGCTAAAGGACAGTGTCTAGCCCCTGAGTTCAAGCTCTAGTACTTGCACAACAGAAAGGAAGGAAGGAAGGAAGGAAGGAAGGAAGGAAGGAAGGAAGGAAGGAAGGAAGGAAGGAAGGAAAGAAGGAAGGAAGGAAGGAAGGAAGGAAGGAAGTTAAATATGTTTCTTCCTCCAGAAATGAGCCCAAGGACTCTTCGTATTTAGAAAGAGTTAGAGAAGTGGCATGTCAAAGAATTGATAAATCCCAAGGAGTTGGCTTTTGTGTGTGTGTGTGTGTGTGTGTGTGTGTGTGTGTGTGTGTACTAGTCCTGGGACTTGAACACTGTCCCTGAGTTTTTGTTTTTTTAATCAAGGCTAGCATTCTACCACCTGAGCCACAATTCCACTTCTAGATTTTTGGTGGCTAATTGGAGGTAAGAGTCTAATGGAATTTCCTGGGCTGGTTTTGAACCTCAATCCTCAGATCTTAACCTCCTGAATAGCTAGGATTACAGGCAACAGCCACCATTGCCCAGCAGGAATTGGCTTTTTTTGGACCTTACTCATATCTTTCCCCTCCCTATTTTCCTTGACAGAAGTGGAATTCAAGAGAAAGATTAGAGCAGAAGATCCTCAAGTGAGGGAAGTACACATATTTTAGAAATACACTGTGTAGGTATTTTGAATGAAGACTAGCATACAGGACTGGACCAGCTCAGATCAATGGGACTCTCCTGTTAAAGATATAAGCAAGCACAAGGCACCCAGAAGCTTCATACCCTTGAGAGGAAGATAATAAAAATAAGGAAATCACTCCTGCTTCTGCTTTGCCTCCACTAGCCTCTTCAGACATATCCGTCCCTTGCCATATGGGGTGCATGATTGTGGATGGATTATCCTACCTGCTCATTCAGCAGAACCTGCAGATTCCCAGCCTATCAGAGCCCACTGAGGCTTAAACACTGGTGATAGTACCTTCAATCTTCTGCACTGTTGTTTTTCTTTTTTTTTTTTTTTGGTCCGGTCGTGGGGCCTGAACTCTGGGCCTGGGCGCTGTCCCTCAGCTCTTCAGCTCAAGGCTAGCGCTCTACCACTTGAGCCACAGCGCCACTTCCGGCTTTTTTCTTTTTGCTTATGTGGTGCTGAGGAATCGAACCCAGGGCCTCAGGCATGCAAGGCAAGCGCTCTACCACTGAGCCATCTTCCCAGCCCCTGTTGTTTTTCTTGTAAGGGTGATGGATAATGTTTGGAAGGATTTCTTTCAGGATAAAATATAAACTCCTGGGCTGAGAAGGTACCTTAGTGGTAGAGTGCTTGCCTAGCACACATGAAGCCCTGGGTTCGATTCCTCAGTACCACATAAACAGGAAAGGCCAGAAGTAGTGCTGTGGCTTAAGTGGTAGAATGCTAGCCTTGAGCAAAAGAAGCTCAAGGACAGTTCCCAGGCACTGAGTTCAAGCCCCAGGACACACACACACACACACACACACACACACTTGCATTTAGTTCACAGAGCCTGTCATCACCAGACCCCAGCCTACTACCTCCTGTACCTGCTCTGCCCCACTCTTGATGCACAAAGGGGAGTCACAGAGTGACTCACCCACATGTGCTCACACATACGGTAGCTCCCTCTCTCCAGGTGTCTCCCTGTCTGTCTCTCTTAAGTTATGTAACTTTTATTCAACTTCAGTGCCCACCTCACACATTCCCGTTCTTCTTCTTTCCACATCTGATTTTATGCTTTTTTTCTGAGCTCCCACCTCACCCCTGTAAAGTCACCATAAATCAGTCAACCTCACCTTTCATCCAACATAGATTCAAACCCAAGGAATAGATTACCTGAGAACATGGATAACCACTTGAAAAAAATAGATAGCATTATTATTTTTAATATTTATAAATTCACAATTCAGGAAGTCTTACTATTGTACCCGATGCAATATTATAGCTTTTGATCTTTGACGGAGATCTTGTTAATATTCAACCTAATCCAAACACATAATAAAATAAAAAAATGTTAAATCCAAATACAAAGGGAATATTTTGATCACTAGAGGCTTGCTTTCTTTGGAACTCAATATATCATTGTAAAGACATGTCTAAATGTAAAGCAAAATGCTCCCAAATGCACCCCTCGTGTGGAAGCTACTGAGGAAGTGTGCCCCACTAATGCCTTGGTTACCACATCAGATATGTAGTTCAGACTTATTTTATAAATGACAAGTTGCCCTAAAAAATCTCCCAAATACATATTAGATTGAACCTGAGAGAGAAGAAGGAAAGCCAGGCAGAGGGACAATAGGACCAGGTTTCAAAGCAAGCTCGAAGTCACGTGGTAAGTGAGGACTGAGGTCTGGGTGCTAAGTCTGCACGGTGGGTGAGGCCATTATGGAAGGATTTCTGTGCAGACCTTGATTTCTGAGGGACTGTGAGATCTGGAGGCAGCGCCGCTGGCCTCTGCCAGTCTGCGGTGGATCAGCCTCAGCCTTTACTCTCCTGACCTGCTTGTTCTTGTTTGTGCAGAATGGCGCTCAGCATGGCGGGGCTCCCCGGACTCCTCTTCCTCGTCCTTCTCCTGCTCTGTGTGGCCGGGCAAGGGATGACCCACAGTGCCTCCTGGAAGCCCACCTGGCCCGCTTACCGCCTCCCTGTGGTCTTGCCTCAGTCTACCCTCACCCTAGCCAAGCCAGACTTTGGGGCTGAAGCCAAATTGGAGGTGTCCTCGTTATGCGGGCCCGAGTGTCACAAAGGAGCACCCCTGCCCACTTATGAGGAGGCCAAGCAATACCTGTCGTATGAGACCCTCTACTCCAATGGCAGCCGCACAGAGACCCGAGTGGGCATTTATGTCCTCAGCCCCCGCAGCGCCCAGCAGGGCGGGGAGGAGCGGGCAGGCCGGGCTCGCAGGAGGCGGCAGATCTATGGCTATGACAGCAGGTTCAGCATCTTTGGGAAGGACTTCCTCCTCAACTACCCGTTCTCCACGTCGGTGAAGTTGTCCACCGGCTGCACGGGCACGCTGGTGGCTGAGAAGCACGTCCTCACCGCCGCCCACTGCATACACGACGGCAAAAGCTACGTGAAAGGGACGCAGAAGCTGCGAGTGGGCTTCCTGAAGCCCAGGTATAAAGACGGCGCACGGGGCGCCAACAGCTCCAGCGCAGCCGTGCCGGACCCCATGAAGTTCCAGTGGATCCGCGTGAAGCGCACCCACGTGCCCAAGGGCTGGATCAAGGGCAATGCCAACGACATCGGCATGGATTACGACTATGCACTCCTGGAACTCAAGAAACCCCATAAGAGAAAGTTCATGAAGATCGGGGTGAGCCCCCCAGCCAAGCAGCTGCCCGGGGGCAGAATCCACTTCTCTGGCTATGACAACGATCGCCCGGGCAATCTGGTGTACCGATTCTGTGATGTCAAAGATGAAACCTACGACCTGCTCTACCAACAGTGCGATGCCCAGCCTGGGGCCAGCGGGTCCGGGGTCTACGTGAGGATGTGGAAGAGACCCCAGCAGAAGTGGGAGAGGAAAATTATTGGGATCTTTTCAGGGCACCAGTGGGTGGACATGAATGGTTCCCCGCAGGATTTCAACGTGGCTGTTAGGATCACCCCGCTCAAATACGCCCAGATTTGCTATTGGATAAAAGGAAATTATCTCGATTGCCGGGAGGGGTGACCTGGGGTTTCTTCCTGACAACCCTCCATGGTCTCATCCAGGAGAAGCCAGTTCTGTCTTTGGCTCGTGCACATGTGTGTGATATGTGTCATATAGGACTTTTCACCTGTTTTCTAAGATTTCAAGAATCCCAGCTTTATTACTAAAAACTGGTTTAGGTATCACATCCCTCTAGTTAACAGTTTAAAAACATTGGCATAGAAAAATTTTTTAAGCACGTTTGGGACACTAGGGAATATTTGGCAATTAAGTTACTCAAACTTTTTGAGGACTTCGATTTTTATTTCATCGGAACTTGTTTCAAAGGTTTATATTAAATATGTGGCATATGAACTCTTATGTTTGTGTTTGTATGTACTTTCTTCTGAGATATCTTGATTTTGTAAATGACTTGTTATTCATTCTTACAGGATGGTAATATCCCCACTGCATATGATTTTAAGAACTTTCACATGCTTCTTAGGCAGGCAGTTATAATAGTTTAGGCTTGGAGGCTGGAGGCACTTGCATAGTAGCTCTTATACAGTAAAAAAATAATTTATTGGCTATATTGATAAGAAACTTTATCTTACAGTAAATCAACACCCCAAGCAAGCTACTTTTACTTTTGAAAATAGTTTCTTTTCCAAAACTGTTGTTCTGCTTTGTGAGTCGTTTGCAGATGGTCCTGCCAACTTTTCAATCACCCCAGAGTGGGGAGGATCCTTTATGTCAATTCTTTCACTTGACATGATTTTCAATCACCTTTCTTAGAACTAGCTGAGTTTCAAAAGACAATCACTAGGGCCTAATTAGAACAGACTGTAATCTTTCCCATCTACCAGTGGGGTCACAATAAAAATAATTATAGCATTTTACCCCTGGAGTGCAGCACATCTGATGTTTTATCATTTGGATGGAGTAACTTAAAATGAATTAAATTCCAGAGAACAATGGATGCATTGTTCTTCAGAGGTCACTACAAAATAACCACTTGTTTTAAGCTTGGCACAGCCATCTAGCCTAATCAAAATTATTCTGCATAGTTTTCCATGTGCCTTCTGAGAGTTGTGTACTTGTTCGATCTAGAAACTTCTCTCACTATACTCATTTTGTAGTAAAATTACTTGAAAGTTGTGTGGCTTTTTCTTCCTGGTCTTAAAAGGGCCCCTTTCTCTGGAATGTGCTAGGCTACACATAAGCAAAAACTAAAATGAAATGGGGAGAATGCAAAGTGAACCAGAATTTGCTCTCTAGTGAGTGTTTTTGGTGTTTTTTGTTTTTGGTCGGTCTAGGGGCCTGAACTCTGGGCATGGGCACTATCCTTCAGCTCTCAGCTCAAGGCTAGCGCTCTACCACTTATGTGGCAGCTGAGGACTCGAACCCAAGGCCTCATGCATGCAAGGCAAGCACTCTACCACTGAACCACCTTCGCAGCCCCCTCTAGAGAGTGTTTTATAAGCACAATAATCATCACATACAGAGACTGACTTGTTCTGTTTTCTTATGTTTCTCAGCCTCTCAGTACTGCAGTACTTCTCTCTAACAGTGCAGTTTTTTTGGGTTTATTTGTTTTTGTTGGTTGTGGGGCTTGAACTCTGGGCCTGGGTGCTATCCCTCAGCCCTTCAGCTCAAGGCGGGCACTCTACCACTTGAGCCACAGTGCCACTTTGGTTTTCTGAGTGGTTTATTAGAGAAAGTATCTTGGACTTTCCTGTCTGGGCTGGCTTTGAACCGCAGTCCTCAGATCTCAGCCTCCTGAGTAGCTAGGCTTACAGGTGTGAGCCACCTGCCCAGTCAGTGCAGGGTTTTTTTTTTTGTTTGTTTTTGTTTTTATTATTGTGAAAATACGGTACAGAGGGGTTACAATTACATGGGCAAGATAATGAGTACATTTCTTATCAAGTATTGTTGCCTCCTCCTTTGTTTCCCCTGCCCATCCCTTCCCATCTAACCCCCCCATGCCCGCCCTCCCCCCTTGCAGGTTTTTTTTTTTTTTAAGCAAGAGGATATGAGATAGATGTTACTGTGTTTTTCTCAGTATTTTCCACTTACATAGGGCAGTGAGGACACTGTCACTTTAACATTCTCCTGGAAGCTTGTGCTTTTCGAAAAGGGGAATCCTCCACAGGCACTCAGGACAATACTACAGGCCTTTTTCAAGTCACACAAGAAATAGAAGGTAGGTGGGGGCCAGTAGTTCATGCCTGTAATCCTAGCAATACAGGAGGTAGAAATCTGAGAATTACAGTTCAAACAAAGCCAGTCCCAGCAGGAAAGTCCTTGAGACTCCAGTTAACCACTAAAACAACAACAGCAACAACAACTGGAAAAGGAGGTGTTGTTCAAGTGGCAGACACCACTTTGAATGAAAATAGCTAAGAGACAGCAGTCAGGACCTAGGTTCAAGCCCCAGACCCAGCTCAAAAAATATAGAACAAAATAAAGTAATATAAATGCATAGCAGGGAGATGCTGGGCTGCCAGAAAGCTTCTGCATCCTAGAACAATTTGCTCTGCCATCTTAAGAGGAGTCTCACCTGGAGAAGAAGAGACATCTCCATTCTTAGGTCCTGTATTTCGGTTTCTGTTTTTGTTTGCTTTTACTTTGCATAAGAGAGAGAAAAAGAAAGAGAAAGAGAAACAGGCCCTGAAACTATAACTAACTTCTAACATAGATGCTTTTTTATGAAGTTCACTGATCTTTAAATTTTGTTATTTCTTAGAAAGTTAGGCAGTGGCACAAAGTCAAAAATCATACCAATGTTTTCTTCACAAATAGATAAAATTTACTAAAGAGGAGTAACCATACTACATATTATGTGTTATGTATCAGTATAAGAATATTGTAAAATAAAGCAACAGGTTTTCCTTTTTAGTCGTGATGACAGAAAGCATGACATTAAATTATCACAGCAGTTTAAAGCAAAAGAAAGGAAGGAAGGAAAGAGGGAGGGAGGGAGGGAGGGAGGAAGGAAGGAAAGAAAGAAAGAAAGGAAGGAAGGAAGGAGAGGCTCATGCTCTTCACCTAACTGTGTATCCTCCCAAGAAAGATAGTAGAAAAATATGTCCCAAAGTATATCACATAATACTTGTACTTCCAGATTTTCTACCAAAATTGATACAAGGAGAAGCCCCTCAGTACCCCTCTCTAAATTTATGGAAGCTCACTGGCCTGGTTGCACATCAGAAGCTCTGAAAAGCCTTCTAAGAAGACCTGTTAATATTGTTAAACTTACATTCCAATCAAACATCTCTGGTTCCAAAGCCCTCCATTTCTCCTGTCATGTCTAGGAGCAATCCAGCCTTCGAATTCAGTTTCGGAATTGCTATGAGAGCCTTTTGGCGAGAATGCGAATAAAGGAAATATGGCAGGCCCTGAGGATCAATCTATACTTTTGATGCTTAGTGAGACCCTGTAGCCAAGATTTAAGAACACTCACAATGTAAATTTGGAGAAGGATGAACCCAAAATTGTTTGTCACTGGGCATCAGAATGATGGGACCCATCTTACGTAGAATTTGGAGCTTTTGAAAGAAATTAATATAAAAAAAACTTAAAAATACTACTAAGGAGGTAAAGAAGTATGAGTGAGCAAGGGACATAATTGCACATAAATTCCTTCTTGACTTTTGGACCAGAATACTGAGATTCTTCTCCTAGTTCTGGGTTCTTTATGGCTCTTGGGCCCTCTGGAAAGGAAGCCCCAGCACCCCTGGGTCACAAACCTAAGAGTAATCTTTCTCTACTAACCCCTCCAAGAAGTCTGAACACAGCACTCACTGAAGATGACCACCTAACCTGGAGGGATGGCTCTCAAGTCTCTTGTCTCTTGTTTGGGTGCCCAAAGGAATTCTACAGTCACTCTCAGTGCCTCCTCATGAAGGCTGCTGGGAGATCTTGATCAAGGAATCCGTTGGACAGTTCTTGCCCTGGCCTGGGTTTCTTGTTTATCCAGGTTCTGCTGCTGTTCTATCTGCTTCCACCCCCTTTTTGTCTTGAAATTGCCTCTGTTCTTTTATTTCAATGGATGGTTTGATAGAATAACAATTTAACTTCTCATCCAGAATGGGATGTTCTTGAGAGTTACTGAAAGGGAATGCTATTAATAATAAGGATGGGACCACAAGTGCAACCAAGTATGTCCTGGGTTAATAATCATAATTTCATGATTGGTCACTTGACTGCTAAACACTTGGGGGCATTAAGGAGAACTCAGAATGGCCACTTGCTAACCTAGGGACAACAATGTCTCTCAGCAATGAGCTTCCCTTGTGGTTTCTACCATATTCTGTTTTTGCCTGGACCAGCATTCTGAGGCCCTCCAATGGAAGCAGATGGGGATTAAAATCATAGGTGGTGTGCATAGAACCATTTCTAGCACATGTACAGTATAACTGTTTTTACTCTGATACTTGCCCAGAGGAAAAAAACCAACTTCCAGGACAAGAGAAAACCAGAATGAAATTTAGGACAGTAGAGCAGAGAAAGCCTTGGAGTTGGGCATATTGAGTTCATATTTTTCCTAGTTCCATGATCCTCCCTGTTCATACTCTCCAGAGGAAGAGGAAGAGGAAGAAGACAGCTGCCTATGTAATCCCCACTGATTCACTGTGTGTCCTCGGTGGTTCAGGCTCTCATTAGCCCTTACCTCTGGTTAGGAAACCTCCTGCCTCCTCTTAGGGCATCATAATCTAGAACACTTTTATAAGTAGAGAACAAGCAAGATGCTGCAAAGCCCAGTCGTCCTGCTCTACAACTCCATCGTCCCTGTGAAACTCATAAGCTTCCCACATCTGCGTGTGAGCTGTCTACTGAAAAAGCTTGAGGGGATAGAATGCTACAGATTTAGTGAACTGAAGTACTTGGGCCCCTGTCATAATCAAATTTGGTCCATTCAAGAAACAGGTAGCAAATAGTATGACTAAGGCAGATGAACAAAAAGATGGTATCAAGAGAGAAACCCAAACTGAGATTTTGACCAGAAGATACAGGAGTTAAGATAAGGAGGTAAGCGTTCTCCCTAAGTGCCAGTGACTCCTGCCTATAACCCTAGCTACTCACAAGGCTGAGATCAGAGACTCAGTTTGAAGTCAGCCTAGGAAGGAGCCTCCATCTCCTTTTAACCAGCAAAAAAAGCTACACTGGAGGGGAGACATGGTACAAGCGATGAGCAAAAAAGCTGAGCAAGGTTGAGATCCTTAGTTTAACCCCTAGTACTAGAACACACACACACACACACACACACACACACACACACACACGAGTTCTGGAAATGACTTCAGAATATATTCTACTTTCTAGAAGATAAAATACATTTTAGAAGGAGACCTGATGAGATCTAATAAAGAACA